CTCTCGATTAGCAGCTATACTACCCGCTCTCATACACCCCGTCACAAGCGGGCTTTGTACAGGGCCGCTCGGCCGCATCTAACATCCGTAAGGTAATTTCAGTTCTGAACCAAGCAGCAACTGGTGCACCCCATGATGCTGCAATTATCTCACTAGACGCTGAAAGGCCTTCGACAATGTCAATTTTGATTGGCTCTTTGTAACATTACAGAAATTTGGATTCGAGGGCCCTTTCATGCACCTGATTAGAGCCATGTCTTTGCGGCAGGTCACATATCCAACCCCATCCATCTTCAAAAGGGCACTAGACAGGGTTGCCCATTATCTCCCTTACTGTTCAACCTGGCCCTGGAACCCCTAGCACGCTTTTTACTGTTCCATTCTGACCTTCATGGAATTACGATAGGTCAACAAGAATTGCAAATCTTTTTGTTCGTGGATGACATTTCACTTCAAATCCATCCCTCGACTTGCCATACATTCAAGAGTCTTTTCAGATTTCCGCCTCTGTTCAGGCCTTCACATACATTTTTTTAAGAGTGAAGCTCTGCCATTGTTCCAAGCCCGCCCCCCTGTGTGGTCTCAAAACTCGATATTTAAAATAGCAACTAACAACATCACATACCTAGGTATAAAGATAGGGAAAAAGCTACAGTAGGTCGGATGCCACGCCGCCGCCGGCACCATCTGGGTCAGTACAATTTTTGTTTCATTGGATTTGGCCCTCTCTGTTTATTTGAGTCCTGGTGAGAACTAGCCAGATCTACAGAGCAGCCGCATCCATCCGAGTACCAGGCAGTGAAAGTCATGCTGACCAGATCTGACCAGACCAGTTTGATGACACGGGAGGTCCAGTGATATTATATACAAATGCGCATAAAGATTGCGTATCTGGTGAGTGCACAATCTTTACATTTCTTATCACCTGGCAGTTCCAAATATTGAACGTCTGAGGATCATCTTGGATCTTAAGAGCACCCTTCCATTGGACTCTTTTAATAATTTTGCACTTCCTTCACTTCATAGCCACCATCCAGTGGCTTTATTTTATTAGCACACAGTCACTGTTTATTATGTGTGTTTGATTTTGAATTTCATTATTGTCTGCTAGGTTACATAGCGCTGCACCTCCCCCTCTTTTTATACATAAAGATAGGGAAACTAGCGTCATCTCTATACACGCTTAATTTCACACCCACGATTAACAAAATTATGGGGGAATTGGAGATGTGGAAGGACCTACCGCTCCCACTCTTGGGCAGATCACATCTGTTCAAGATGGTAAGCTTACCGAAACTTCTCAATCCACTCCAGACTATACCCCTACTCCTGAAACGCAGCAACATAACAAAGTTAAACTGAGCAATTTCCAAAATAACGCCCACGCATAGTACTTGCCAAATTATTTCTTCAACGTAGTGAGGGAGGTTTCTTGCCTGCTTCGTATCTGTTTGGACTGGCTGACCCACTCCTCCAAGTACTCCAACTATCTCATTGAGTCTGCTATAGCATCTCCGTAGGATCTCATGGCCCTTCTACATTCAAATATTAATTCTCTCCCACCACATCTAAAACACAATTCGCTCATTTGCAACACCTGGCGAGAAGTCAGACGCAAGTTGGGGGTCTCTCCGTGGCTCTTTCACTTTCTACCTATCCATCACAATCCCTCTTTTACTCCTCCACATTCTCATGCAGCCTATGAACTGTGGTTCCCACATAATTTAGTTATGGTACAACATCTCTATGACACCTCTATAGGTTCCCCAAAGCCTCTTCATCATATCCTACAAACCTACAACTTACCCTCTCATCATTTTGTTCTACAAGTAAGAAACTTCGTAGACACTGTCGCACCACTCAAATCCACTAGGTTTTGTGCGACTATAATTGATATTCTGGCAAACTCCAGCAACTATAAAATTTCAAAAATATACAGACCCCTAAATCTTTTATACACAAAACCACTGGATTCATCCAACTCTGTGAAATCCTGGATCAAAGACTTTGATAATACATTCTCAGCTGACCAACTAATATCAGGATTCAACACCACATGTGCCTTTAACCTAAACGAATTTTGGCGTGAACAACAGCTGAAAATCCTACACCGAGCCTATGTGCCCTGCTTCTACTCAAGAACCGACCCAGCTCTGTCCACATGCCCTCTGTGCGGTAGCTACAAACCTTCACTACGTCATAGACTTTGGATCTGCCCTGCTATATCTACCTTCTGGAAGCAAGTTATCAACTTTGTTAATTTTATTACCACCTCCCAGTTGACTCTTGACCCACTACTTCTTCTCTTCGGTTACATGGACGATGCAGTTACAAATTCATCCCCTTCTCAAACATCAACCTTCAGAAACCACAAGTGCAATATCTACGAAAATGGAAGTCCTACATCTCAGGATCTTTTTCTGTACAAGAGCAAACATTTTTTCTTCAGAATTCCAGCGTGTTAAGTCGTTACTTAAAACCCCATTTAGGATATGTAGCATTGGAGCCTGTCATACAGTAACCTGAATGATACTTTTCCCTGTTTTTTTTTTTTATATTATATTATTGGTATACTGTCATGTTGATATGAGGTTGATCTGCAACTTTTCATCTCTATCTGCTTCCTTTTCTTTTCTTTCAATAATACTCAATTTGTCTCTATCTGAGATCGGATCTGTCGCTATGACTACAAGCACGGGGCAAACTGAACCTTTAATCTCTACACACTATAGGTCTACACGGACATCTAGAGCTCGACATTCCACCTCCACCGCCCCTAGTGGATTCCAGAACCACCAAAATCTGACTTCCATCCCCTATATCACTTCTTCTTTCTTTTCTTTTTTTTTTTTCTTGCTTCCAGTCAATCCAGTACTCTTTCTCAACACTCACCCATACCTCACATATCCTCTGCACCACCTGTCCTACACCCCTTTCCAGATCATCGGGGGCCCCGGGTAACATTTGTTCTCACCTCTTGGCTCCCCTCTCCTCCCCTCATTCTCTCCTTCCCCTTCTTCTATATTTCATCATTCCTAACGTAAAATTAGGCTTTTTCATCTGCCCTCCCCCTTCTGCTTTCATCAATCCTTTGGTTCGATTGATAGCCCTATTTCCATAATCCCCTACTCTTTTCTTCCCACTTTCCAACACCTTTCCCTCTATACACCCATTGCTTTCCCTATATTCTTATTCAGCCCCCGATTATGTCTATCACATATCTACACTTATCCTTTTTTTTATCGGTAGGTTGGTGGCAGATATCCTGGCGACATCTATGATCTTCCTATGTTCCCAGCATTAGAATCTGATCATTCATGCTGCAACCTCACCTTCTCTTTCTAAACTTTCGATTATAACTATTAATGACTTATCTTTTCCCCTACATTTGCTTTCTTCTAACCACTTTTACATTTATACCTCCCTACCTGCTCAGGTGCGGAAATCTTCCAATCTGATGACGTACAAAGTTTATTAAGCAACGGGCATATTTATTTATATTTTGTGATCAAAAGATAATTTGATATAATCTTCCTAAGTTGTTAAGATGTCATGTACATGTATTTTGTCTATTCGCCACCCTATCCTGTTTTTTCTTTTGTGAAAACCCAATAAATATTCTTTAAAAAAAAAAAAAGGAATCAATGCATCAGCTGAATTATAATGAAAACGTCATAACATTCAGAATCACATAATCAAACATTTTTTTTCTTTAGAGTAGAAACAATTTGGAATCTGCAACCAATATTGCTAAAACCCGGCAATGAATATTGACTATCCAGAGGGGATTGTTTTTTTTTTTCTCAGCAAAAATGGAGTTACTCTTTAATTCTCAGTTCTCAAGAGATTTCATGTTCTTCCAGACATGAAATCTCTTGAGTGAGAAACAGGCAGCAAAAACTAAGCTTACAGTGTTTTTATCCTTCTATCTTCTATTAAAAAATACACTTTCTTGTTTTGACTTACAATCAAGAGGAGTAATAAAAAACATAATGTATGATTACCTTTAAATGCTAATTATTGAAAACATATTTTGATTATGTGTTCAATGATTCTACATGTAGAGTTTCACACAATAGTAAAGCTAATTAGGATGTTGTAAAAAGAGAGAGGAAGATTGAAATGTAATTTTTTCCTAAGAAGCATATATTTATCCTATTAGATTCAGTAAAATTTTGCGGAAGCAAATGCCACACAATCCAGTTCTTTGGAATGAGGCAATATCAGTCACCGGTTTGATATCCCCAGTTGCACAGTTATACAGTTTATGCACTACAGTTATTTGGATGGTTGAAAATGTAGAGGATAAATATATCTGGTATTGTCAATAACCGCTAATTACTTTAGAGCTCTGTCATATTCTACTGTAAGCTAAAGAGAAACTGAAATCTGATTATTAAGCACAACACAGTAACACAATATCGTAGTCAGATTTTAGCTATCTTTTTCTTTGCAGTTCTGAGAATAGTAATTAGTCACATTCGACTATCCAAGAACATGATGGGAGGCCTGATTTATGAAACCACTCTGTTCTTTACAAACTTTCCCAACTCCCATCACGTCCTTGGACAATCAATATCTGCCTTGACACATTCCATGGTGAATGGATTAAGGTGATGGATTTACCCCTTTTATTTTAGCTGAGGAAATTTCATAGATGAGTGGTGAAATGTTTTCAAGATTGCAGAACAAATTGAATGACCTGGATAAATGAGAACCTTTATTTGCATTGGAGAATAAAGCTTTATGCATTGTAGGTGGACTGGAGGTGCAGTCCATCGAAAAAAGTCCTGCTTGCTGCATCCTTGATGTGATTTCCAGCTAGGCATACATTACATAGGAACGAATAGTAATATGTAAAACATGCAATATGCATATGTACATAAAATATAAAAATAATAAAGAATCTAGTTGCTTGCGACACCTTTCACTTCCTTTCTTCCCTACACATATTTTTACACACCTGTAACTATAAATGCTATCTTTTTTATTTATTGTAGATGCAGAGAAGGGATGTCACTTCCTCCATATTTTGAACTGTATACAACAAGGTTTTGGGTCCTGCATAAATGAAGCCATACTGCAGAGAGTCATTGATGCACTTGAACAGAACAGTGACATTGTCAGCACAATGGAAAAATACTACACTGCCGTCTGATATCATACTGCAGCCACTAACTGTCCTGATCTTAGTGGTCCAAAAATGGATTCCTGTATTGGAGCAGTGGGAGAAATCATGACCAAAGTCATAACCTGGGGGACCCCAACTGAGAGTTTGGCTCAGTGCCAGTCAATGATCCAGTAAAAGCATCATCGCAGCATTGAGAAAAGACTCATCTTCCTGTAATATTGTATGGGAGACATTGCTGAATCCTGCCTCATATTTTTTCATCCATTGGGCTCCTGGGAACATTTTAACATTTCAGATTACAGAATGAAAAGACACCACATTATAAAGGATATGATGTTTTTATTCTTATTAAAGGAAGTAGTTCTTGTTTTAACCACAGCAAAGATAATCAAACATCTAGAGTCAGAGTGCTGACATTTAGTATTAATAAAGACCATTATTTACCAAAAGTAAAACACCTTTTGTTTTTTGAAAAACAATTATTCTTACTGTGAAAATGTCTTTATATCGTCCTTCTATCTGTATTGTTGCGACCACTGATATGTACTATTTTCCAGTTTTTTATAATGGGCCAAAGTGCAGTTTATATGTCATCTTCCTGCTAATAATAACAGTTCACGTCACTTTGCAGCTTACATCATACAAGTGGGCGTTCTTTCCTCCTACATCGCTTTGCAGAAAGAGAATGTGAGGACACAGCGTATATGGACATGTACACTCGTAGCCTCTGAATCTTCTTTAAGCACTTTTGAGTAGGTGGCTATGTAGGGAGATATTGACATCATTTACACTTTAATATAACATACAGTATATCATACATATCCTTATATACTTCTCTTTGGGGAGAATCAACCTGACGTCTTGTTGGGACAGAACATGAGAGGATATTGCCAACAGTGCAATAAAGCACTTTTTTTAAAAGTAGAATGGGGAAGGGTTAGCATTTCTGTCAAGTTTTTATTGCTGTTTTACATTTCCCTGACGGGACCCAGACAAAAAATTAAACATGACACAGGTTCTAACCCTTCCCAATTCTTTCCTACAATGCAAAAATAGAAACTTTTTTTCCTTGTAATAGGAACAGCTAAGAGTACCTGGCACCCTAGCAGAGTCGGTTTGTTATCACCCCTTCATTACCTCATGCAGTATGCCATCAGGTATAGTATTAGGATGATCACTATATCATGAGCTACATAGTTTTTTCCTACTTTAATCCTTTCAAGATCAGAGGTGACTAATACCTAGATGCCCAGGCCAAATTTAGCAGAATCAGAATGCAATGGTTAACAGACGTGCATGTTGGAAATTTTTCATTTTGGATGCATTCATTCATTAAAAAATTTTGTTTTGCTGTATTTGTTATGTTAAACCAATTCCTTTTTGGTTTCATATCTTCAGCATTTATTTCATATATTCGTTGGTCTTGGTGGCGTCAAAACATTTTTCAGTTATTCTGGAAGATTCCTATATATATGATATACACTGCTCAAAAAATTAAATGAACACTTTGAAAATAAATCAGATCTCAATGGGGAAAAATATCATGCTGGATATCTATACTGATATGGACTGGGTAATGTGTTAGGAATGTAGGGATGTCCCACCATTTGATGGAAATGAAAATTATCAACTTACAGAGGACTGAATTCAAAGACACCCTGAAAATTAAAGTGAAAAAATGAAGCAGCAGGCTAGTCCATTTTCCTGAAATTTCATTGCAATCAACTCAAAATGGTATTCATTAGTTTGTATGGCCCCCACGTGCTTGTATGCATGCCTGACAACAATGGCGCATGCTCCTAATGAGACGACGGATGGTGTCCTGGGGTATTTCCTCCCAGATCTGGAACAGGGCATCACTGAGCTCCTGGACAGTTTGAGGTGCAACCAGCGTCGTATGGACTTAAACATGATATCCCAAAGTTGTTCTATTGGATTTAGGTCAGGCGAGTGTGGGGGCCATTCAATGGTATCAATTCCTTCATCCTCCAGGAACTGCCTGCATACTCTTGCCACATGAGGCCGGGCATTGTCTTGCACCAGGAGGAACCCCGGACCCACTGCACTAGCGTAGGGTCTGCAATGGGTCCAAGGATTTCATCCCGATGCCTAATGGCAGTCAGGGTACCATTGTCTAGCCTGTAGAGGTCTGTGAGTCCCTCCATGGATATGCCTCCCCAGACCATCACTGACCCACCACCAAAACGGTCATGATGAACGAAGTTACAGGCAGAATAACTTTTTCCACGGCTTCTCCAGACCCTTTCACGTCTGTCACGTGCTCAGGGTGAACCTGCTCTCATCTGTGAAAAGCACGGTGCCAGTGGCGGACCTGCCAATTCTGGTGTGTAATGGCAAATGCCAGTCAAACTCTATGGTGCCGGGCAGTGAGCACAGGACCCACTAGAGGACATTGGGTCTCCTAGATTGTAAGCTCCAAGGAGCAGGGCCCTCAAATCCCTCTTATATTGAATTGTATTGTCTCCTGTTATGCTGTAAAGCGCTGAGCAAACTGTTGGCGCTATATAAATCCTGTATAATAATAATAATAATTGGGCCCTCAGGCCTCCCTCATGAAGTCTGTTTCTGATTGATCAGAGACATTCACACCAGTGGCCTGCTGGAAGTCATTTTAAGGCTCTGGCAGTGCTCATCCCTGTTCCTCTTTGCACAAAGGAGCAGATACCAATCCTGCTGATGGGTTAAGGAGCTTCACTGTCCAGCTCTCCTAGAGTAACTGACTGTCTTCTGGAATCTCCTCCATGCTCTTGAGACAACCTTCTGGCAATGGCACATATTGATGTTCCATCCTAGAGGAGTTGGACTGCCTGTGCAACCTCTGTAGGGTCCAGGTATCGCCCCATGCTACTAGTAGTAGACACTGTTAGTAGTAGACACTGATCCTAGCCAAATGCAAAACTAGGGAAAAACAGTCAGAAAAGATGAGTAGGAAAACAAATGTCAGTGGCCTCCTCCTATAAAACCATTCCTGTTTTGGGGGTTGTCTCATTGTTGCCCATCCAGTGCACCTGTTGTTAATTTCATTAACACCAAAGCACCTGAAACTGATTAACAACCCCCTCTGCTACTTAACTGTCCAGATCAATATCCCAGGAGTTTAATTGATGATGCTATACTCTGATTGAAAAGTGTTCCTTTCATTTTTTGAGCAGTGTATTATCGAATCAAACAGATTCAAATCGTAATGTATTCAATGTTTTCAGATGCTAGTCCAACCCACCAAGAGAAATGACATAAGCTGATTACACAATATCGACTGGCATGATGTGCATCCTAATTAACCTCCTTGGCGGTATTCCCGAGTGTAGCTCGGGGTAACATTTCAGTACCAAGAGCGGTAACCCCGAGCTACACTCGGGAATACCATGCGGCACTGCTCCGGCATTTGTTCTTCACTTACCTTACCCTACGCACCCGCAATGTGTCCCCTGCAGCATCCCCGGCCATCTCCTCCGGTTGATGCCGGCATCCGGCTTCTGTGTCCTGTCCCTGTGACGTCGGGACGTACAGGCGCCGAGGGAAATTTAAAAATTTAAAGAAAATGTCTTTTTTTTTTTTTACATTTTACATAGTAAAACATTGCTGTCTCAACCAATTTCACATACATTTTGTCCCTACTGCTTTGTCCTGTGCCCTGCCTGCATTTTGTCTGTTCTTTCTGCCTGGAAACTGAGAAACGTCCATGGCATCCAAAAAGTGTCCCTTTAGGTCAGCTAGAGAACAGCGATAGTAAATCAGAACCACTTGCAGAATTGAGTGATAATGATTCGTGGGGGAAATTCGTCATCAGACACTGAAAACGATTTTGCGACTGAGCTCAGCAATGTGCGAACTTGGCGTTATATTTCAAATTTCAGTGTTTTTGGTTTGATTATATTATTGAATTAAATGTATTATTATTATATTATTATTTTTTAAGAGTATTTATTAAATTATAATTTATGATTTCGTGTTTCAAATTTTATCATCCCCGGGATGTTTACTAGACTCTTGTTCAAACAGATTTCAGTGAGTTATTCCTAAAAATTACAGCCTACATTAAAAAAACTACATATTTCCATGCAAAAAAATGGTACCGCTTTCAGCACCAAAGATCGGAAAGAATCATACCGCCAAGGAGGTTAAGGAATGGAACAAATTTGAAAATTTAATTCATTTCCCCATGGGCATGAACTATTATCACATAATGTGCCATCATCTGAATCAAGCTAATTCATTCATTTATTACTTTTTTCGGATTCATTGACATTTAATACTATGTCCATTCAGAGATTTGTATGCATCCGAATCTCCAAAAATTAATTTTTTGCTTGAAAAACAAATTGTGATGAAAAGAAATGCACATCTAATGGTTAACTTGACAGTAATTCTAACAACAAATGAGCATACATAAATAATATATTTATATAATTTATATAAAATATGTTTAGGTTTAGAAACATTAGGCTCTTATTTGTTACACTGTTATAAAAAAAATGTTCACAAGTGAAATCTCCTGCGCTCAATGACCCAGGCGGGTGGCGAATAGATGGAACCAGACCTGGAAAGATCGACCACCAATGCATGTAGAGTTGTGCAGCTCCAAATAAGCCTGGGGAAGCCCAACCAATACTGCAAATTGAAACAAAAACGAGAAGCGCACCAACCTTGCGCATTACCTCAGTAACCAAAATGTATTAATTATAAAATAATACTCACAAACAGCGAATAAAAATCAGGCATGTAAGTCCTGAAAGATAAAGAGCCAGCGCGGATCCCATCATGGGGGTAGATACTCAGTACAGCTGGCACGTTCCGAAGGGCATCCCTTCTTCATCAGAGCTACTGATGAAGAAGGGGGATGCCCTTCGAAACGCGTCCGTTGGCTCTTTATCTTTCAGGTCCCTTTGAGGACTTACATGCCTGATTTTTATTCGCTGTTTGTGAATATTATTTTATAATTATTACATTTTGGTTACTGAGGTAATGCGCAAGGTTGGTGCGCTTCTCGTTTTTGTTTCGATTTG